ATTATATTATTGAAATTAACAAAAAAAAAAATGGTATTAAGGAAGAGAAGGGGAAATCTTAATTTTACGGTAAATTTTTAATGGGATATTGGGCAGACTGGGCTTTGAATTGTTCAATTCTATAACCACAACACCCCAATGACACGTATACCTCTGTGCATTTTACGTGTGTGCATTCTGTCAGACAATCACAGCAGTTTCTACATCTGTTTGCAGTCCTCAAAATGTCTCTAAATCCAGGGCTCTTTACCGGCCTCACCTGTTTAGTGTTTTACTGCTTGCTTGCAACGTTAATGCTTTTTGGAAATACCCTGCATTACCCTTGAATTTCCTAGTCATTGGTTTCTTTTAATTACTCTGAAATTTATTATAGAGAAGAAAGCAATGACAGTCAAGATTACAGGGGACTGCATTTGAGGACTGGAAACAGAGTGCAGAAAGGAGCCTTTCACTTCAGAGCTGCTGGTAGGAATCCAGCTCAATTTCAGACTTAGCAAAAATCATTACTGTGTGATGGCTTCTGGTGCCCTGCACTTGATGTCCACAAATGAGTCAGTGTCCACATCACACAAGCCACCAGAACAATTGGTGCTACTGTAATTGAGAGTCTACTGGCAGCATTGGTGGAAAGGGCAGGGACTTGAATGAGCATGGAAAATGAGCTGCTTTCTCGCTGCTCCCTCAGGTCACTGTTGAGACACATCTGTGTGAGAAAACTTAGAAGAAATTTGATCTGTGGTAGCTCCCTTCGGGAGATAGATGGAAGACTGCATTCCCATTCTGACAACCTGATACCTGCTAACAAACATTATATTCAAGAAAAATATAGATCATTATGGGATCATTTAACGTGTGAAAGCATGAACTAAAAAACCAAAAATGCTAAGTATGATTGAAAAATCAACAATAAAATCCAAATGCTGGCTTAGTTTTGAAATGCTAGGAACAGAGCCAAACAAATATTATCAAGCATGACCACTGTTGGCAACAATTGCTTCCCTCAAAAGCACAGGGAAATCCTACTCTTTTATTAAACCATTGAACAATCTCTTCAGGCTGAATCCCTTCTAGGCAAAAATAAAGGAGTGCTTCCACTGTTCAAACATTCTCTTTGGAGATAAGAACGTGGGTTAGTAGAAGAGATGTTGGACTTTATTCAGCCTGAGATGATGCCTTGGTGTCATGGAAACAGTGGCTAGAAGGAGAGCTCTCGGCAGCACAGGGCACCATGAAGCGAGAGCCTTTAGAGACTGGGACTGCCAGTGTGCATGGGAATCGGTGGTGGAGGTTGGAAGGGACCTCTGGAAGTCATCTGCTCAACTCCTGAACTTGGCACTTGACTAAGTTGTCTGCTGTAAAGTACAGAGGGCCTCATCTTAGAATTTATATAGTACTTGGTAATCCTAAAAAAAACCTGCCTCTGGCAGGAAACTAGTTGTGTACTACTGGAGATGAATTTAGCCCCATGGTTCCTGTAAGCTTCAAATGGTTAAACTGTGAAGGTGTCTCTTAATGTGCTGAAATGACACAATTGCTTATGCTGCTTACACTGGTGAATGTGATACAAATTTTTGATGAAGTGAAAGTAAAAAGAATGGGTTTGATGTCAAATAAGTGTGTTAGCAAATCTGAAGTTATCCGAGACAGCTTGGACTATTTGTGAATTCATGCCAAATTCAAATAAAAATAGAATAGAAACTTTCAACCTCTAGTTGAAGTTTTCCACTCCTTGAAAACAAAACATTTTGACTTTTCCTATTACAACAATTCAAAAGCTTAATTTAAATAACTTTAGGTCATTTTAAGAGCACCTTAGACCCAGAAAGTTAATTTCTCAGTATTTATTTCGGTATGTAAAAAGGGGGAAATTCAGAGCAACCCAATACAAAAATGTGTGTTGGAGTGCGTACATGTGTTTTGGGGAGAATTGACCACAAAACTGAAGGAGAACTTATTTGTTCTCAGTTCCCTAGCTGTAACCTGTGACATCTCTGCTTTTGTGTTTTGGGGCTTCTCCAGTAGATAATGCTATCAGATTGTTCAGTGTTGTTTGTACAGCAGAGAGGAGATTTAGATAGCTATGTTCATTCCCAGTTGTGTGCTAGCAGGATTTGGAACCCGGGGCTGTGAAGGTGAAGCCAGGTGTAACTCCCTGCTCCTCAGTCTCTTAAGAGATATACCCATATCATGAGGGTGGAGAGAAATAAGCACATCCTTTCAGGGTAAATTTGGAGAAGTATTGCGGAGCACCACAAAGGTGTGAGGGCCAGCTTCAAAATTTCTGGGAGCCAGGAGATAACAGCACCCAGAACACAGATTTCAGAGTTTAAAAAAAGAAAAAGTAGTGCGAGAGTATTTCAGCATCCTGAAACACCTTAGCGAAGAGCATGTGGCCCACATTTTTCCCTTTTCTATGACCAGTGCTGAATTCCTCAAGGGACTGGTGATTCTGCAGATAGGGGGCTGCAAAAGTGTGGTCCTCGGGCAGAGCCTAGCCCTGCCCTCCACAGGCAAGGAGGAGAGGGTGCTGACAACCTTGGTGTTAGAGAAGGAAAGATCTACACAGAGGCTTTCCACATTCGAGCGGCCAAAGCAAGATTCCCAATTCAGCAGAGGCCGAATTTATGAGAACTGCAGCAGGAGGTGGGATGAGGGGTTTAAATGGCAAAAAAGCTTTTAATAGCAGTCTTTGCATTATAATAAAAGTGTTTATTTCGGCGTCTCTGCTAGCCCGTGTAAGCAATATAACTTTATGAGTAGCTGATATTTCGTGTAATAGAAATGCATTTGCCCATCGTGAGTGCCTCTAGCTTGGCAAGCAGATGACTGGTCATATTATTAGGCAGGCTTGTTTCCACGGGCAGAGAGGGGTATGTATCCTTCTTAAGGGGAAGAAAAACCTGCAAAGGCCTAAACCATAAGATGTAATAACACAAAGCAGTGTGTGTGAAAGCAATGCATAAATCGCATTCACTAAAGTAGTACAGGATAAGGTCACTATTGAGAAATACGAAATTATTTTTGAAAATGAGCCTTCCAAGGTAAGTCAGAGGCCAGAAAATGAGCTGCTTTTGTGTATTTCCTGCCATACCATACAGCGAACAAGGTTACACATGAATGAAACCATGATGTATGACTTGGCTTCTTACGCATTAAAAATCCTTTTAAAATATAACTGTGGTGTTCCTTCCCAAATGATTTTACTTTATGTATTTATTTGGAGAAAACTGAAGCAGTTTGCCATTTATGTGTATTCAAAAAACTGCGTATTTCCAAGACTGTAAAAGAAACCTTAAAAAAAATTTCTTTCAGAACTCAAATAATGATGTTTAAAAATGCATAGGAAAATGTCTTAAAATGAAATAGAGAAATGAAATGGATAAAATCTCAGTTGTTCTTTTCTTTGCTACTTGATCGCAACAAGGGGTTGTGATGCGCACATAAAACTGGATAGCATAGATTTTGTTCATCATGTGTATTTCATTATATGTTATGCATTTGCCTAAACAGTTGCTTTCCATGTTGTGAATTCTCTTTTGTGTGAATGTTTTGAAACACTTAAAATTGGAGAGCATATAAAACATAGCTGACCACAGCATTCTGAATCTGCATAAACTCTTACACAGATATTTGGATTTGTGTACACATACACAAACTCTTGATTTATATTTATTGAATTATTTGCATTTGTAATAGCAGGATGAGACCTAGAATGTTTCATTAAACTTCAAAACTATATAAGTAATACTGAATATAGGAGTTGGGTAGCACACCCTTAAGTATTTCTGAGTTTCCACCTTTTTTTCAAGCATCCACATCTTTCTAAGCAAGTACAATATGAAAGTCCAAGTTATGTATACTAGTGTTGCTGCTCAGGTTCTATTCTTAGTAAGCAACTCTAGAAAGTGCGAATACTATTACGTTAATTTATACCTCAGAAATATTAGATGAATGCAATTTTTGTTGAGATTACCACTCTTAAATCATAGAATCATAGAATGGTTTGAGTTGGAAAGAGCATTAAAGATCACCTAGTTCTAATCCCCCTGCCATGGGCGAGGATGCCTTTCATAAATGCTAGTAAACCATTCATAAATAATGCCATGGTGTTAATATTTCTGACCTTTTAACAACAACAACAACAAATCACTGAAGAGGATTCTAGGAAAATGAATTGTTTGAGGCTAAAATTCACTCAAAAGCTGTTATTTTGCAGACTTTGCTATTTAAAATACCTTTACTGTAGCTGACACACTGATGACTGCTGTCAGATGAACCCTTATGTCACCCTGCTCAACAAAACCTCTGTACTGTCTTTGAAGCAATGTGCTTTTAATTGCTTTCTTCATAGGCTGCTGGATGGAGGAACTACGTAAATAAGAGTTTCACGTTAGTGAGCTGTTATAATTAGAGATGCCTGACTTTTTTAAGAGAACGAGGTGGAATTATTCTTGAATTAGGTAGAAAGTGCATGCTGGACTAAGATTTCCTGTGTCTTAGGTGCAGCCCATCCATTCCTGATACTGGCTTATTCTTAGACAGTGTTTTGCTTATGCTCCCTGTAGCCTGTACAGTCTTGCATAGGCAGAGCAGAAGCCTGCAAGCGGCTCTGTCCTGGTGGGCAAGGTGTTAGAGGAATGGTCAGTGAAAGAAATAATTATTTGATTTAACCAAAAACTTCTTCTCGTCGTGCCAGTAACTGCTCAAAACCTTAATAAACCCACAGTCCTGCTCGGAAAATATGCTCAGAAGTTAAAGGTTGCCATCTAATGGTGAACATATATAATACAGTCTTCATATTTTTTCTTAACTTTCCTTTTCTTACTTTTCTCCATGTACCTGCAAGATCTTTCTTTATAAGGCACATGAAGAATGAGACTAATGTTTTATTCAGATTTTATCTGGGATGATTAGTAACAAGATGTTGCAACTGAATGTGAAATTCCAGCCATTCGGTTTAACTGAATTCTTATGTCGTCATGTTTTTTCTATGAATTTAGATATAGATGAGTGTTCCTTTGAAAGAACCTGTGATCACACCTGCATCAACTACCCTGGAAGCTTTGAATGTCTCTGCCATAAAGGCTACACCTTGTACGGACTGACACACTGTGGAGGTTTGGAAACTGAGTTTTGCTTCTGTGTTTGCTTGTGTGCTTTGTGAACTGTTTACTGAGACACACATTTTTTAGCTAAAGATTTTGGAACTAAGAAGATAAACCAGTGAGGTTAAAATAATGCTAAAATAGCATAAGCTGCATGTAACTAAAATTTCAGCATCTCAACATTGTTGAAGGATTCCCAGTAGAAGCACATAAAAAACCGTGGCCACACGTTTTTGCAATGGTGGTACATGGCAGCCTCAGTATAGACAAGGAGCCTGCAGCCGTGACACTTGCATCCACTGCTGCGTGACATCCACTGCAGCCGTTCTTCCACAACCCTCAGAAAGCAGCCTCATGGCTGGGGTTCATCGCATTGTACTTCCTTGCAGAATTTTGAAGCGCAGAGAACCAGTCGGTACTTCCACAGGAGTCAGATTAGTTAAAGTCGCATTAACAGAAAGAAGGCTTCAAATGATGGGTAACAAGGAAAATAGGAGAAGGATGTCCCTTTTACAAAGTTTACAACTTTTGGTTCTGTTGGTATTTGTTCTCCCCAGTCTGCAACATAAACTATCTGTGAAACTCATTATCAAAGGCTGTCGTGGTACCTGGTTCCCATCATCTTTGGAGCTACTTCGGCCTTTCTAGCATAACTGGAAAGAACTGATGCTCTAATGTCTGGTTATCAGAGAGGGATGTTTTTAAGTGCATCATAGGGCAGTATTATCACAATCATGGAATCGTAGAATTGTCAGGGTTGGAAGGGACCTTAAAGATCATCTAGTTCCAACCCCCCTGACATGAGCAGGGACATCCCCCGCTAGATCAGGCTGCTCAGAGCCCCATCCAGCCTGGCCTTAAACACTTCCAGGGATGGGGCTTCCACCCCCTCTCTGGGCAACCTGTGCCAGTGTCTCACCAGCCTCATGGGGAATAACTTCTTCCTAACATCCAATCTACTTCTACTCGTTCAAGGCAGGAGAATTTCGGAGCACTCCAGTGTTTGCCAGGGTTATCACAGAACGAGACTGCCTGCCACTGGCCTGGCTAACACCCTCAGGTATCGCTGTGGTCTCCTGCCTGAACATTTAATAAGTGGTAGTTAGTTTTGACGGTCTTCAGAATGCTGATCAGAGGAGAGCAGAGGGTTTTTTTGAGGGATTTAAGTGTATTAGATCTGAATTATGCTTTTAATATTGCACAAGCAAAAGTGAGAGGGGAAAGTTATAATAAAACCTGAAAGCCTGGAATCTAAATTACTTATCTGACTGGCACAAAAACACCTGTCCATGCTACTTCTAAATGTAAAACTAAATTGCTTTCTCTAGTTGAAAGATGTTTAATAGTTAATTATTCAAGTGATTTAAGATGCAAAAATTCATAAAGTTTGTGTCATACTATAAATAAAGCTCTGACTTTAAGTCTGCAAAACCCATGTATTCAGGCTCGGTTCTGATCTGAGTCAGACTTAACACAGGGAAAGTATGCTAGAAGAATTGCTGGGAACAGTGTTGGGTCGTAATCGCTCTTTGTGGAGCAGGAATCATGGTGCATATTATATGCCAGAGTTATCCTCAATGTATTCCTAAGTAAATCGTGCTACAGACTGAGATAAAAAAAGATATAGTTAAAAAAAATACAGTTAAAGGCTCATGTTGTTTCAGTTCCCATGCAATTCGGTTTCTGCCATGCAAACAGATGTAGTAGAAACAGAGTCTAGCCCCTCACTTCTGTCCAGATGCCGAGTCCACCTGATTTTGTAGGGTTCACTTGAGATGTCTCTGCCTGGCTTCTCTTTGGGAGAAAGGTTTCGGAGGTACATGCTGATATCTTTTTTACAGAGTAGGATAAGTAACAAATGAATTTACTGTATAGTAGAGGCAGGCAGAGAAATAGGAGTCAATCCAAGGAAAGGGTTTGGAAGAAGACTCCACTTGAGGCCAGTTCTGAAAGCAAAATCAGAGGCTGAAAGTTTTGGGCACCTGTGCAATGTAGTGTGGAGACACTGATCTTCAGTTTGACTGATGATTCCTTAATGGCTTAGTGTGTGTATTAATTTAGGGAAAGCTCCAAAGTTTGGGGTTCAGCCTCAATCTTTAAATAATCTTCAGCTTCAGTTTTTTTAAATAAGTCTGAAGTTGAACCAAAATTCTAACTGAAAGTAGTCAGTGCTAAACTTAAGGCAAAAACTAAATCAAAATGTTCTGCTTTTTTCCGCAGTGGGCAGATTCAAAATCACAGCTCTGAATCCAGACTTGTCCAGGCCCTGAACTTTGCCATTCAAGCCTGTCATTAGTTGTAGTCAGCCCCTGGAGACTGATGTTTATAGTGGAACAAATAACATGTGGCTGACACCCACATGGCACTGAGCAGAAGCCAAAACTAGGGAGAAATAATGAAAATCTTCAAAAAGATTTGGTGCAAGCTTGCCTCGTAGTAAGCTTGCTCTCCATCTTGCTTCCCCTCTACTAGCAGTTAGTAAATCACATGGCAATATCCTTGTTCTGGGCCTTCTGTGCCACCCTTGTTGATCTCTCTGAAATCATTTTCATGGCATCTGTTGTAAAAAAAGTGGTGTGTCATAAGAGAATCTCTTAGAAGGACAGTGCTAGCACTTACACCACCTGTTTATGTAAAGCCCTACTTGCAGTAGGTTAAGTGACCTTAGGAAAGTCAGTAGAATCTGCCGGACTGTTCAATGCCTTTGGGAATTTAGCTGCCTCTTCAGGAGTTTGGTTCTGGACTGAGGTAGTTGACAGCAAGAGCTCAAATTTGAACAGTTCAGCCAGAGCTGAGTGCATTTAGGAGCACTGTGGACTACATGCGTGTTTCAAAGTGTGAGTTCACAAGTAGGTCCCACTCAGCATGAGCCTGACTGCTATATACAAAACTGGCTTGAACTCAGACTGTGTTTCTGCAGATCACACAGATGGATTTGCACACAGCAATCAGAGTTTAAGCCTGGGCTCAGGCTCCATGCCTGGTAAGATTATGGAGCAGATCCTCCTGGAGGCACTGTTGAGGCAGAAGAATAACAAAGAGGTGATTGGGAACAGTCAACATGGTTTCACCAAGGGCAAATCATGCCTGACAAACCTGGTGGCCTTCTATGAGGTGGTCACAACATCAGTAGACAAGGGAAGAGCAACGGATGTCATTTACTTGGACCTGAGCAAAGCCTTTGACACGGTCCCGCATGACATCCAGGTCTCCAAGCTGATAAAATATGGATTTGATGGATGGACAATTCACGGGATAAAGAACTGGCTTGATGGCTGCACCCAAAAAGTGACTGTCAATGGGTCCATGTCCAAGTGGAAGCCAGTGACAAGTGGAGTCCCTCAAGGATCAGTACAGGGACCAGTCTTGTTTAACATCTTCATCAGTGACATGGACAGTGGCATTGAGTGCACCCTCAGCAAGTTTGCCGACGACACCAAGCTGGGTGGGGTGGCTGACGTGCTGGAGGGTAGGGATGCCATCCAGAGGGACCTCGACAGGCTGGAGAGGTGGGCCCAGGCCAGCCTCGTGAACTTCAACAAGACCAAGTGCAAGGTCCTCCGTCTGGGTTGGGGCAATCCCAATCACCGATATAGGCTGGGCAGTGATTGGCTTGAGAGCAGCCCTGAAGGAAAGGAGTTGGGGATACTGGTTGACGAGAAGCTCAACATGAGCCTTCAGTGGGCACTTGCAGCCCAGAAAGCCAATCGTGTCCTGAGCAGCATCAAGAGGTGTGTGGCCAGCAGATCGAGGGAAGTGGTTCTCCCCCTCTACTCCACTCTTGTGAGACCCCACCTGGAGTGCCACGTCCAGTTCTGGAGCCCACAGCACAAGAAAGATCTGGACATGCTGGAGCATGTCCAGAGAAGGGCCACGAGGATGGTCAGAGAGCTGGAGCACCTCCCCTATGAAAACAGACTGAGAGAGTTGGAATTGTTGAATCTGCAGAAAAGAAAGCTCTGAGGAGGCCTTATTGTGGCCTTCCAGTACCGCAAGGGGCCTACAAGAAAGCTGCTGAGGGGCTTTTTAGGATGCTGGGCAGTGATAGGACTAGAGGGAATGGACTGAAGCTAGAGATGGATCGGTTCGGATGGGACGTTAGGAAGCTCTTCACCATGATTTTGGTGAGACACTGGCACAGGTTGCCCAGAGAGGGGGTGGAAGCCCCATCCCTGGAAGTGTTTAAGGCCAGGCTGGATGGGGCTCTGAGCAGCCTGATCTAGTGGGGGATGTCCCTGCCCATGGCATGGGGGTTGGAACTAGATGATCTTTAAGCTCCTTTCCAATCCTGACAATTCTGTGGTTCTGTGGTTTGGAAAGACAGTTAGACAATTAGCCTGTGAGCATTTATGGCCAGACCTCACTTAGAAACACATTGAATGACAATTTTCCATCTACATTTTTAGGCTTATCATTAAGCCAGAGTATTAGCAAATCAGTATATCTCATGTTCACTTGGTGTCATCCTAGATCATTTGAGCATATGTCAAATGGTGCAACCTGATGTGCCTTGTAAAAGTCTGTTACAGTAATGCTACCGTTTTAGCAAGCAGATGGGTTTCTGTGTTCAGAGGGCAGAAACCAGTTGTTGTTGAGGTTACTACAGTGCCTGAAATAATGAGGCTGTGGTTCATAACAAGGGCTCTACTTGTAAATGAAAGAGTCTGGAGCAGCAACGTGTAACTGATGATTCACTGGTGCCATACAACAATTTTGGCATCTGCCATCTATTATCCCAAGTGTGCATACATGGCACGACTCCTGTTGAGCATGGTGGATAAACATCCTTTTTGGTGGTAGGAGGATAGGAGAGACCAGCCATGTCGGAAAAAATATATAAATGGTGATTGCATAGACTACAAAGGATATACCTCATGTTGACTAAATACTTTTCTAGTGTATCAAAAGTTGAACGATTTTATGTGGAATATCAGTGATAACATATCTGCTAGTTGTTTTGCCTTCTTGCAAGCTTTTACCTTTCATTTTTATTTGAGGAGCAGAAGACTAAATAAACTACACTTCAGCTGCTAGGTTCCTATCAAATCTATGGTTTCCTCCTTCATCTGAATCATTCCTGTGAATCACTGGGGAGAATTTATCTCCCTGTTAGGCAAAAGTGTTATAATCTCACATGTGTTTGTGCCTTTGACATTTTTCCATCTCATGCAATATACATTATTGTCCAGATGCTGAAAAGACTTTTCAGTGTGTTTTGTATCTTGTGAGTACTTCCAAGAATTTCAGTCTAACTAGTCCTGGGAAGTAAATTGTATTGTATGCACAAATCCTTGAAAGAGTAGGAGCTCTACATGTGTCTAAGGACAAATACATGCAGTATGCACTAAATTTTTTTGATGTATTGTCTGCATTTATACATCTTTATATAGACTTACATATAACAGATATGGTAGAAACATATGGTAGAAGCAGATATCTTTATGCCTATAATATCTTAATGCACAGTATACATCTGTACATATAGTTAATACTCTTCTCAACTTCAATTGCATTTTCAGATATTGATGAATGCAGTATCAGCAATGGTAGCTGTGACTATGGGTGTCTTAATACAATGGGGAGCTATGAGTGTGTCTGTCCACCTGGAAAGAAACTGCACTGGAATAAAAAAGACTGTGTTGGTAAGTGGGGGGGTGACTGTCATGATGCTCCTGTTCTCCAGGAATGTGGAAAAGCCCATGGTTTTGTCTGAGGGATACTGCATTTTCACAGTATACATCCCCAAGTTCATTTCATAAACTCAGATAACACCTGATCCTATGGGGGTCCTTGGGCTAGAATATAGCTGCAGGTGGATTAGAGAACAGGCGATATGCTGGATTTTATCTGTGTAGATTTTTTATTGTATTTTACAAGTCCATTCACACAAATCCTATTTTATTTATTTTGTACTTTTGTTCTTTATTTGTTCTTTGTCCATCTCTATGATCTCAGCTATAACTCTATTTTCCTCTAAGACTAATTTAAAATATTCAAAATACTTAAGTGTTCACAAGTGGGACATTGTATTCAGGTTAATATTTACATTCACAGCATCATACTCCAGTTTTTCAAGTCATCTCCACAGGTATCCTGCTTAATATAAATTACTGACACTAGTTGTATCAAAAGTATTAATTACAGTGAGGAAAAATCCTGAGACCACTGAAATTATGGTACTTCCTGCTAGTGTCACTTTGTGTCAGGTCGGAAGTTCTGTATCCTTTAAGTAGATTATGCTTTTCCTGGAGTCTTATTTGAAACACAGCAAATACTGGCCATGGCTTCAGCCATTCAAAGTATTTTCCGTGAGATTTTAATTTCATATTCACATTTCTAATGGAAATAACATACTTTTGGTCTTTCATAGTCACATTTTGGCTGTGAGAGTTTTGCTGGTTTTTTTTTAACCAGTAATAACTTCTCATAGATACATTTGGGGCCGATGCCTAATTCCTAACTGGGAGCAAGACAGAACAAGGAAGGGGGGCACATGACTTAAGGGAATTTCTGCACACATTGAAGGAAAGCCCTGCTTTCTGGAGTAGAGAGCACCGCACTGGCCTCTTGCGTGATTATGCAGTTGTGGTGTTTTTTCACTTACATGGATACAACAGTATAGAAGGCACTTCATAATCAAGGTGGGATGGGGTGGCAGATATCTCAAGCTGAGTTTCAGCCTTTGCCACTGACTTTCTTCCTAACCACAACCAATAATTTATTTTTCCTGCTTACCTTGAAATATATTACCTTTCACACTATATAGAGAACTGAGTACTGTAGGAGTAAGAAATGGTTCAACCTGGTTTTTTTAGTTATCCATTAGGTCTCCCTTGCAATGTGTCAGTTAGTCCTCTGTAAAGGAGTCTGTAAATTAACAGCATGGACTAAAATTTTTTGAAGTCTGATATATAGTTAGACCACAGAAGTTTTGTGCTAGATTCCATCTCAACCTTGCCAGAGTGCTTTTCCCATGGTAAGAGTCTGTATTAAAAATATTTTCCTGCTTGTAAATTTCTCATAATTATTTGTAATACTCAGTTGGAAGATGGAAAATAGAACACCCTTCTCTATTGAAACACAGTTTTATTTGATGAATTTAATGAGGCTTAAAATGAGTGTCATCTCCCTGCTGACTGACTGCCTTTATTACCAACATTGTTTAGAGGAAAATGCATTCTACATTGTTATAAAGGCACAATAAAGAGGAAGAGAATGATATTTAGTGATCCTGAACGCCACATGATTTAGAGACATTTGCAGTAACAAAATCCTCTTATGCTCAGCAATGACGCTTCGTGCTTGCATTATCTCCTTAGTCCAAAGAAATAATTTCTTTAAAAACATCACCAAAGCAACATAAAAGATCTTAGGAAGGAGGTAAGTGGAGGATGATTATTCCCATATTTGAGATGTGAACATCAGACTGTTTAAGGGACTTGTATATGTATTTATTTAACCACCACTGAGGCTCAGAACACAAACCAGCTCATGGCTGCTGGGACCCTTTGTCTGCACCCAAGCCAAGCCAGGCAAGGCTTATTCCAGCTACCACATTTGAATTGCCCTTCTTCATCCCAGCTTTACTGGGCTCTTCCCAAACTGTGGCAGACTCAAACCAGTCTGGCTGCTGCAGCTCTGATCTCTCCCTTACCTTGCTACGGTTTAGTGGTGAGCTGACAGGTAAAGAAAATGACGTTTGCAGTAGCACAGTCAGCCATGAGCAAAACAAGAGTCAGCCAAGGCCATCTTGTATGGTGAGCATGTTTGGAAGATATTGCAAAAAACAGCCAGCAAAAAAGCACATGTACCTGAACAGGCTTTTTTATGGGGCTGAAGTAAGAACTGCTCTACAGACAACTGGCTGAGATTTAACCAGCTGATGCAGTGTGAAATATCTGCTTGAAGAGGTGCCCAGTGGCACATGGCCAGTGGCCAGTGCAGGGGTTAAATCTCTGGGGCAAAGGAGGGAAGCAGTGAGGTACTCAGTGGTAGTGATAGCACCTGCTGCCAAGAACAAACCTCATCCTTTGGGTGTTAAGTAACTCTTCAGTCCCCAAAGATGTCAAATTAAAATAAATGCAGGTTTATAATTATCGGTGGCATACTATCATCTCAGGGTGAAGCACAGAGACTGCTCCAACAGTTCTTGACAAGTTTGTGTGTAATTTCAGCTAAAATGCAAATGGTCCCTTGACCCAAATATGAAGAGTCACTTGTGAAACCTGCAAGTTACTCTGTCTTCATCCTGCCATGAAGCTAATAGGAGAAGCTGGATATTTCCATCACACAACCTGCGATGTTGAGGGCACTGATGAGAAATGGTAATGTCTACGTGTGTTGCAGTATCACTTCTAGCATTGCTCAGGGCATTTCGGCAGCGTGTGAAAGGACTGGTGGGACTGTCCATCTCTATCCCAGCATGTCCAGCCTCACCTCTGCCTGGATGGAAGAAGCTAGAGCGTGGAAGTAAAATTAGAAAGTCTGTCAGTTACAGTGAGAAGGGGAAAATACGATTTCAGTGCTCATCTAAATAAAGGGGTCTTTGTGAAGGTGACTTCTGTGCATGGTGTGGTAGTTAGCCTGTTAAACCAAAGAGCTGTGCCTTCAAAAGAGGGGAGAGGGCGTCTCAGGTCATTAGTATTACCTGTCGCTTTGAAATCAAGATGTGCACACCGAATAATGTTCATAATCAGAGAGATACCTGCTTTCCAGAGTGCGGATCTGGACCTGAACAGTCTCAAAGTAGAAAGGAAAGACTGATCTAGAGTTTAGGTCTGAAAACCTAAAGTTTCATTTTCAAGTCAAGCTCAAGAACCACATCCATATCCTCTCCCTAGTGTGTGCTTATTTCAGAAATGCCTGGGCCTGTGATTTTGCTTTGTTGCCACTTCTACCTCCCTCATCACTGTATGCAAGTGGATGTACAAGGTTCTTGGTTGGGCAGTGTCTTAATTTCTTTTTTTCTTTTTTCTTTTTTTTTTACATCCTCAGAGGTGGTGAAATGTCTCCCGAATGCCAAACCAGCTCCCAAGGCTCAGCTTACGTGTAGTAAGACAGGAGGCATAGAGAGCTGCTTCCTGTCATGCCCATCCAATACTCTTTTTGTTCCAGGTTTGTACAAAGTGTTTGTCCTCCTAAGTCTACAGTGTGACTGGATGATTTCTCCCTTAATGTACTCGTGATTCTTGCATTCAGTTTTTGTTATGGACAACAGTAAATGAGCAAAAAACATCATTATAAATTGAAGTGGGCCAGACATGCACATCACTAAATACAAGACGAGCTGATGGTCAGTTACATTAGAGGTTTGGTCCTTTGTTGTTTAATTTGAGGTGTTGTTTGCAAGAGTGGGGAAATTCTAACAAAAACCTGAGATGCACATCTACCATAACTAGGATAGTGCAGGAGAAAAATTTTAATATATTGAATTGCTATGTCAAAAGTGAGGGGAAAAAACAATAGTTGATTTCAGTCAATTTCTGCTAATTTTTAGTAACGTTTTTCAACCTGAGTCAAATTGCCTGTGCCTATCCAGGTATATGCTTAAAAGGGTGGACTCTGTAGATAACCTAGCAGCAGCTTTAAACCTGCCTTACTGTCTCGTGCAAAATGGATACAACTGAATCTGTCTCAGGAGGCTGTGTGGAAAAAAGCTGCAGTTGCCGAGTTTTGATAAATTTTGCTGGTAGTAGTTCAGCTGAGTGTTACTTATAGAAACTCAGGCATTTCATGCCCCACCCCTTCTTTTGTATCTTTTGCTATAGGTAATTTTCATCTACACAGTTTTGAAGGGCAGATGAGGCACGGGGGATTGATATCTTTTGCACATATATTCTCATTCTGGATTATTTTCTGTAAGAGTGTCTCTACTTTTCATGTTAGTCCTGGCATTATATGCCCTAGAGCTGTCTACACTTTATTTTCAGTTTAGCAGAGATTACTGGAACCATGTATTTATCTAATCTGTATGCACCAATATACAGTCTTGTCTGTGCAATGTGTAAACCCTGTTACGGTTCTAAGTATGTTATTTTTTGTTTCTGCCAATAAACTCTGTTAGAGTCTGAAGCTAAAATTATTTTGAATGTGGTTCATTTCTTAAATTATGCAGATGATCAAAGTGCAAGGACTCTGCCATAAAATATTTTCTACTTGTGCACCATGGAATTCTTTACAGCTAACCTCATACCAAATTGTTTATAAAATGTAACATTTCAATGCTGGAAGAAACAAAACTTGTAGTCAACACTGTGAAGGAGTAGCTTTTGGCAAACTATTTCATCCAAGTTCAGCGCTTAGAATACCTCCTTACTTAGAAGTACTAACAAGTTTGCTCAAGCATCAAACGTTAATGCTGGGGGTGATGAGGGGACCAAATGCTTTGTGAGGCTGTTGCCATGTGCTGAATCTATGTTCTGTCCTGCAGATTCGGAGAACAGCTACACGCTGAGCTGTGGCGTTCCTGTCCAGCAAGGCAAGGCTCAGCAGAAACGCAATGCGACCCTGCCCAGCTGCGCAGGTAGGTGCTTTCCTCCTTGCCCAGGCCTTGGCGTTTAGGACATAGGTGATGGAAGGTCACCCAGACCATTTGGGAGTTGCAAGACATAACAGCTCTCAAGTTACACAAAGCCAGAATTAGGGTAGCCTGTGTTTCAGCACATGCACGCTCACTTTTCTGCAGCATCTCCTTGAGGGCCAGAGCATGCTTAGTTGGCATCCTGTGTGGCATTGTGTCAGCAGGTCAGTATAGGAACGGTGCAAGTTTGAGGTATATTCAGTAAGAACAAATATTTAGAACACTTTCCATAGTCCAGAAAGGCAGTAGCAAGTATATCTAAATAACATCTTTTCCACACTTGAGAGTGAGCCAGAGGAGCCCATCTGTAGCACAGGAGCAGAAGGCTCTGGTGGGTCCCAACTCTCACCTGTAAAGTCTTTCCTTAGGAACATGGATCCTCCTACTGGGGATTCCCAATAAAAAGGTTGTGAGAACTTTATGACCACATACTGTGTTTCATTCATCTTGTTCTCAGAACTGGCTGAATTATTTTTGCAGAGACATTTCAAACTGTGTCTTAGAGCTGATACTCACCATAAAAATGTTCAGCTCAAAATGGTTGAAGTCTGGCAAAATTAGAAGCGGCAGAAACAGCATCTAGCAGCAGGAAATGTCAGCTTGCTTTACATATCATTACCTGCTGCACTTCTCTCCAACTTGTTGGTTCTCTAACCATGTATTTCTTATCTATTTCGAAAGCATTAGGAGGTACAAAGTTGTGGAGTGAGGTGGCGTGGCAGCAGGTCTGGCTGCCTGTGGCACAGAGGTGGGCTACCTCTGTAGTCCTGCTTCTGCAAGGCCCTCCCAAGGAAAGAGGGACCCACGTTGCGGCACTTACTGCACAAGGAGTGCATGGCTGTAGAACAACCTTTAAAGTCACAAAACATAACTGGCTTGGATTTAAAGCTAAGGAATAAAGCTTGCAAGCCATAGACCGCAGTCAAATAAAGATGTTTCCTTTGGATGATTTTCTACTGGCAACAGCCTAGCTCTACTAAATTAATCTTATTTCTGGTTGGCATTAGCAAGAGCAGAACTACAGCCAAGTAACATGGGAACTCACAGACAGAGAGTCACGAAAAAATATGTAGGAAATAAGCTTTTTCGTAGTAAAAGACGAATTCACCCAAATTCCTCCAAGATGTGCAGGCCTGCTGGAGGGTAAGCATATGTGCAAAGCATGTGTTGTACTAGCAAATTCATTGATCTTTATGGGCTCAGGAGTAAGTGCTTATGTGAAAAAATGAACATGTGGTGTACAAGGTGTGTAACTCTTGGTCTGTCTCTTTCCTATGTTGCAAGAAGACTTTTGAGTCTGCTTTTAGAAATAAGTTTCAGACTTCATTTCATCTGCATCCCAAATGATAGCTTTTTTTACTTTACATCAACAGATGCATTAGCCCCTCCAATCAAGCAGAAAGCTCGTTTTAAAATTAAAGATGCAAAGTGCCATCTACGGCCTCGCAGCAAAGAAAAAACAAAAGATTCTGGGAAGCAAGCTGGTTTAGGTATGTGGTTTCTTCTAACATGTAAACAGCATTCAAATTTTTTGTTTGTTTGTTTGCTTGTTTGCATATTTTGTTTTCACACTGAAGACAGAAAAAAAAATTAATGGTTTTCATATTTGGATCTGAATTTAAGTTCAGGCCAAGGTTCACCCTGTAGCTTAACAGTGCTTTGGGTTTGGATCTAACAGTGCTGAAATGTCACCAGTTGCTTCGAAAAATATTTCTTCAAAAGTACTTAAGTTTGGAATTAAGCTGATCCTTTTTCTGGCATTGGTAATGGCAGAAATATCCTGAGACAAAAGCTATGACCAATGCAAAGTTACATGAAAAAATACCAGTTTCATTTGGTTTGATTTTCCCCAATGAGGTTATAAAAGAAAACGAAAGCTGTTATTTATTTGCTTTATGCTGGATTAGTATCCCATTGCCGCAGCAAAGACAACACCTAAGTAACGAAAGTTATAATCAAAATCTGATGTTACACAGCCTTAGATCTTATGCTGTGTTGGAGTAAGTAGTTATCATGTTAGTATTTATGGAGTATTTAGAAGGTTTAGATATAACTACCAAAAATCTGAAAATAACAAAAAGTTTGTGCTGGGCTGAATCAAAGTAATAATTTTTTTTTTAACTTAGTATGATTAGATATGTGGTAGTATTGTTATTAGTTTTGAACAAAAAAGATATTTAAAAAGTGATATATATTTAACAGATCATCATGATATTTATTTCTTGTCCTCCATCCTCTTGATATCATGACAGGGACAATTAAAGAGTGCTTGGATGGTATTGCTCTGCATTTCTAGAGCTTAAAATATCTGGAATCCATTTGAATTTATTACTAACTCAGAATTTTCCAGATTTTAATACACAGTATTGGTGTTCATATTGTCACTTAAAGCAATTTAGCGCCTTACAGCAAACATCTAGTGGTGATACGTGCTCTGTTGTGAACCTGTCTTACCACCACTTCTGCTATATGAGCCCTGAGCAGTGAAAAAATAGCTTTTCTAAAAAAATGCTGAGAGTTTAAAGATTTTATTTTTAAAATTTAGACTAATATTTTATCTTTACCCTGCAATCTAGACTTTTATTTGCCTAATTTTCCAACTATTGGCTCAAAACAACTCTCAGTTGTGAAGATGCGTACCTTGTCTTTACATATTGTCTTCTTTTAATAAGATGGGATTTTCAGACTAATTTTTAAAGTCATAGACGTTGATTTATTTTTTTGGTTCATACATTCACCATGGGAATGTATTTCTTGGATGCTTTTCCTTATCCTTTGCTTGCTTTGCATTGTATTTTTTATGAACTTCTGGATCTAACGCTAAGATTATACTGTACAACCACAAACTTGGAATGAAGTCGCTTTGTGGCTTGCATGCTAGAGGGTTCTCCCTGACCTGGAAGATTAATTGTCCATCACCAAAAGAAAAGATGTTTTTCACATAGATTTCTTAATATATAGAGAGGATGCATATGTGATTGTGTCCTATCAAATTGTGCCCTTTCTCCTCAGGGTTGACAGGGGCAGACAGTTCCTCTGGCTTGTGACAGGGCAAGAGGAAATGGCCTTAAGTTGTGTCAGGGGAAGTTTAGATTGGACGTTAGGAAAAACTTCCTCATGGAGGGGATTGCCAAGCATTGGAACAGGCTGCCCAGGGAAGAGGTTGAGTCACCATCTCTGGAGATATTTAAAAAACATGTAGATGTGGTGCTTAGGGACATGGTTTAGCAGGGGACCTGACAGGCTTAGGTTTGCTGCTGGACTTGATGATCTTAAGTGTCTTTTCCACCCTAAGTGATTCTATGATTTCCCCTCAGACAAAGCCTTCCAAAATATTTTCATAACCTCCCAAAGGCTTTTAAAAACTTTTGATATATGGTGATTGTCATTGCTGAAAGACATGGATTACCAGCTTGTAGTTTCTAGAGGCCCAGACCTGCTGCTCTCAGGAATTTATAAAAATTTACTCTCTTGCTTTGTTTAACCATCAAATGACTGTGTATAGTATTACTGATCTTAACTAATTTCTCTAAAGAGCTTTCTAATCCTTAGGCAGAGAAGAGACTGGCAATTACAGGCATTAGTGGTACCACTGTGCAGCTGAGCATCACCACACTGTATTTTTTGCCTTCTGCATTCACTAGCAAAATGAGCAACTCCAAAACTGTACAGAGGAGGTGTCTAACACTGCATGTGAAGTGTTACGAAGCCTGTCACTGCATTCAGGATAATCCAGCTGAGATATCGCTTATTAGCCTGTCACTTGCTGCTTTGCTACTTGATATCTTTTCTATCTTGCTTCTTTTATGCCAAGGAGGTCAATTCCCTTGTACAGACAACTGCCAGGTGACCTTTGTGAATCTCAAGTGTGATTCCTCCAAGAAAAAACGCCGAGGCCGCAAGTCACCCTCAAAAGAAGTATCCCATATCACCGCAGAGTTTGAAGTAGAGATGAAGTCAGAAGAAGTCTCAGGTTTGTGAAAGATCTATCTGCGGAGAGAAATCACAATTCAATTCCCCAGTGTGTTGTTAGAATCTCTTTGATGCTGTTTCATCAAGCTGCCGTGCAAGCCTTTTAGCGCAAGCCCCATTCAACAACCTTTCCAAATGCAAAGTTTCAGAGGCTTAATTGGAAGGAATTAAGTATGAAATTAAGCCAAAGGAACAAAGATTGCACCTGCAGCAAAATTCTTTCCAAGTCTTGAATTAAGTCCTGTGCTTTAATTTAGTCTGATTTCTTAAACAGCAGAAGTGCTAATTGGTGCACAGAAAGAGTAAGAATTACGTACGAGTTCTGCAACAACAATGATAAAAACATCCTCCAAAATACAAGTTGCTGGAACTTCAGTCTGAGAATCAAACATTTTTATCACACATTTGGAAAATTCATGTTTTCATAACAAGCTTCAGGAAGAAAAATAATTGCTTCCAGTTATTCATGAGAAGGAATAGCATGCAATAAAATCTAGCCAAAGAAAACATGGGCTGAACTCAATAAACACATCAGTCCTCAGAGGCTAGTCTCTTAACCCTGGTGAGTACCTCACTAGCCAGGTGATTCAAACTGTAAACATGCCAGAAAGCACCTTTCTTTATGTTACGCAGGTATTTTGGTCAGGGAGACGCGAAGAATTCCTGATCAACTGAGTTAAGCATGGGCAGAGAAAATTCAGAAGCAGTAGTGGTGTCAGACTGAGCACACATCTGGAAATATGACAGAGTAGGACTGATGATTTCTGCAGCCCTCACCCTGTGCACTGGGTGTAAGCAGATTTCTTACTGCTAGAGATAGCAGCATTCTCTGTGCACTTATGGGCCATGAAACTCAGTTTGATATTCATCCATGTACTTTCTTGTCCCCTTAAAAAGCCTGATTTTGAGTGAACTGCTTCTACAATTTATACGGAGAAGACAGTGAAGCAAACAGAGGTGTCATAGTGTGATGCAGGCTAAGCTTTTTGTTAAGCACCTCTTTTTAAACATGAATCTCAATTGCTTCTAGTTTTGTTATCATTTCCCATTTAGACACCTGTAACATTGACTGTGTTCGGAAAAGGATGGAGCAGAAGCTGCAAACTGCAATCAAAACATTGAGGAAATCTATTAATAAACAGCAATTTTACATTCAGTTTTCTGGGACAGAATATGAAGTGGCTCAGAAGCCAGCTAAAGCTACTGAAGGGCATGAAGCTTGCAGTACAGGGCAAGTGCTGCAGGATGGAAAATGCGGTAAGTCCCAACAAATCTATTCAGCCACATACCCTAAATCAAGCAGCCCGACATCAAGTTGCCCCTAGTTTGCCAGGAATGAAATCTATGAGATAACAGATGATTTAGATCAATATTAATCCACATATGTGCATGGACCACTGATAGTTCCTAAGACTTTGAAGGGAGTTCATTAAATGATTGCAGGAAAACAAAAGAAGCATATGAAGCATATATATAGATACCTACAGTTGTACTCTGCTGTCAGCTGGTATTGTATTAAGGCCTGCCACAAGGCAACATTGGTAATTAGTTCCCAGTTGCTCCCAGCATCTTCTGAAAACATAATTGTAGTTTTGTAAAACAATAACATGGTGTTTGCTGAGATGCTGTGTATTTTGGTTTATATCACTTCTCTCTCTCTCTCTTTCACCACCAAAAAATCCATGATCTGTGGATGTATTTGTATTTAACACTCAGGAGGTCCAATAAAAAAAGGAATCTGTAGAAATCTATTCTAATGTTATGTAAAATACCTATTTTCTTTAAGCCTTTTCCCAGGCTACCAGGCTTTAGTGCTTTACTGGGGGCAAGGTGCTAGTGCAAAGCTGTTAATGGCAGTTCTCAGCCCTGCAGTCTTTCTAATCACTTAGAGTCATCTTTCCAAAACCAGCATATCTATTTTTACAGCTTTTTTTAGACACCGTGATCTACAAGCTAAAATAAATAGTTAAGTGCACATCTGCTAAGTGCCTCTAGTGAGTTGGTTCAAAGGCTGTTTTCATCATATAGGAAGGGCGATTTAGAAACTGCAGAAAAAATGTTTAATGCAGTCATGTGCCCTGTTGCAGCAAGAACAGCATGTGTGTTCATGTCTGCATCCAAAACGCTTTCTAGTTGGGGTATTTGAGTGTCAGGAGACATAAAATATTACATGGGATACATTGCCCACAGAGAAATCTCTAGAACTGATCTCAGGAGACAGACTTATTGTAGTCACTTGCTATAAAACCAACACATAAATGCACGTAGTGAAAAGTAGAAATTCACATCACTTCCCATGCGTTATGCACCATTACTTTAATTAAACTGCAATATATTGTTTTATGACTGCATCAGCTTTATTAACAACATATGTGTGATAAACACTTCAGTGTATTGCAGTGCCATCTAATAGCTTTAACAGTAGAAGAAGGACCTTGCCCTGATGTAAAATGACCTAGACCACAGAGGAGATTGGCCTGTTTACATTAGGTGGGGATCCTGGACTAACATATACAAAACATATGCCACTATAATACTGGGGCCAAAGAGATCCATCTTCTCTAAATGTCTGATATGAAGGCAAATAATGTGATCAAAATAAAAGTCCTTACGTAGATTCCCCTTTTCTTTTCTCAGTTACCTGCAGCACGGGCACCTTTTATAGTGGAGAACATAATCAATGCGTTCCTTGCTCGCCAGGAACATACCAAGACACAGAAGGTCAACTTACCTGTGAACCTTGCCCAAGTAACGATGGACAGGGAGTAGCGGGCGCCCGGAATGTGTCAGAATGTGGAGGCAAGTTTAATTTGATTATAAAAGGATTAGGTGTTGCCACAGAGCCTGTGGGGCACAGAGGCAAAAAGAGGGAATAGCCTTCCACACTTCTGTCTTGTAAAGGTAACAGAAGAAAACTCTGTGCACTTACAAGCAATACACAAAATGTTTGGGCTTGTTCCACCCACTGACATTGCTGACGAGAAGATGGGACCTGCTGCAGCAATGTGAATGGGCATGGGAATGAAGAAGCCAAGCAAAGCACTTTGCTTCAAGTCAGGTATGGAACCTGAGCATACCTTGACTTGTAACGACTCGCCAGGTATCTTATGAGCCAAAGGGATGGATTGCTTTGGACTGGTATTGGTGAGTCTAATGAACCTGCTGATTTAATGTTTTGCATGAGATGCAGTTTACCTGGTCTAATCAGCAGCAATCATAATGCCGAGTTAATTACTCAAAGCTAATGAATGCAAGTTTCAGTGCTGCTTGAATTCACTATAGCTTTTGGCAAGTGATGTAGCATCTTTGACTCAACTTTGTGATACATAAATTAGATGATAAGGATGGTAATACCTGGTTTCAGAAGGGAGCTGTGATTCTACTGTAACTAGATCAAGATAAGGTTTCAAGACACAACTGTTAATTATTTTATTTACCTTATTTCTTTACAGATGAGCAAAATCTAGTTTACAGCAGATACATTATTTGACCTTTAAAGAAATCTGTCCTATCTGCTACACAAGTTCTAACTTTAAAACTCATCTCTGTAATTTGCATTAATGCTTTCTTCAAGGATATCTCGAGTAAACACACAAAAAAGTCAGTTGAGAAACTGCCGCTTTTTCCTCATTCACTGAATAAAAAATAACTCTAGTGTCTCCAGACCAAACATGTGGTAGATTTTGCTGATTTACTGTATGAAGCAAATATCACAGATAAATTGTTGAAATGCCTGTGCATCTTTGTAGCATTGGTTTGTGTTTATCCAAAATGTAACAAGAGTAAATTATCAAAATAAAATCAGGGTTTATAAAGGTTGGCAATAGCATACTGACCAAAGCAGCACAATGAGTAGAGAGAAAAGACTTTTGTTTCAAAGCTTGCATTTTGAATTATTGCTCTGCACAACAACAAAAA